ATGTCAAAAGCTGAGACAAGCTGAAAGCTAGGTCTCTTGCACCAGTTAGCCAAGCTGTTAATACAAAGGAAACATTTTTGAAGAAAGTTAAAAATGCTATTCCAGCGAACACACAAGTGATAAGAAAGCAAAACAGCCTGATGCTGACCTAGAGAAAGGTTTAGTAGTCTAGATAGAAGATCAAAACCAGCCACAACATTTTCTTAAGCCAAAGCATAATCTAGAGCAAGGCCCTAACTCTCTTCAGTTTTATGAAGTCTGAGAGAGGTGAGGAAGATGCTAGCAGAGGTTGGGTTATGAGGTTTAAGAAAAGAGGCCATCTCCATAACATAAAAGTGCAAAGTGAAGCCGCAAATGCTGGTGTAGAAGCGGCAGCAAGTATACAGAAGATCTAGCTAAGACAGGCTGATTTCTTATTAGGGGTTAATGCAGCTGGTGACTTCAAATAGAAGCCATTGCTCATTTACCATCTGGAAATCCTGGGGCCCTTAAGAATTAAGCTCAATTTACTCTGTCTGTGCTCTATAATGGAACAACAAAGCCTGGATGATAGCACAAATGTCTACAACATGACTTACTTGAATACTTCATGTCCACTGCTGAGACCTGCTCATAAAAAGTCCCTTCCAAAATACTGCTTACTGACAATACACATGGTCACCCAAGAGCTCTGATGGAAATGTACAAGATTAATGTTGTTTTAATGCCTGCTAACACAATTCATACTGCAGTCCATGGATCAAAGAGTAATTTTGACTTGAAAATCTTATTATATAAGAAATGCATGTTGCAAGGTTATAGTTGCCATAGCTTGTGATTCCTCTAATGGATCTGGGCAAAGTAAATGGAAGACCTTCTGAAAAGGACTCATCAGCATAGATGCCATTAAGAACATTCACAAATTATGGGAAGAGGTCAACATTTGAACGTTACCAGGAGTTTGGGAGAAGTTGATTCTAACTCTCTTGGGTGACTTTGAAGGGTTCAAAACTTCAGTGGAAGGAGTCACTCACTGCAGGTGTGGTGGAAATAGCAAGAGAAGTAGAATTAGGAGCAGAGCCTGAAGATGTGACTGAATTGCTACAATCTCATGATAAAACTTCAGTAAATGAGGAGTTGGTTCTGAAGGATGAACAAAGAAAGTAGTTTCTTGAGATGGAATCTATTCCTGATAAAGATGCTATGAAAATTGTTGAAAATGACATCCAAAGATTTAGAATAGTACATAAACTTAGTTGATAAATCAGCAGCAGGGTTTGAAAGTATTAACTCCTATTCTACTGTGGGTAAAATGCTATCAAACAGCATCTTACACTATAGAGAAGTCATTTGTGAAAGGAAGAGTCAGTCCATGCTCCAAACCTCATTGTTGTCTCATTTTAAGAAATTACTACAGCCATGCCCACCTTAAGCAGCGGCCCCCCTAACCAGTCAGCAGCCATCAACACTCACGCAAAAACCTCCCTAGCAAAGATTATCACTCACTGAAGGCTCAGATGATGATTAGCATTTATTTTAACAATAAAGTTTTTATTATTGAAAGCATTACAGATGTCCCCCTTTTTTTCTCCCATTGACCACCCCCTCCCCGCTCCCACTCCCCTCCTGTTTTCCCCAAACTAAAGTCTGTGTCCATCGGCTGTACGTATTTGCATATAAGTTCTTTGGTTTATTTCTTCCCACATCCCCACCCCCATCCCTCTAAGGTTTGTCAGTCATGACTCTGGATCTATTTTGACTGACAGCTTATTTTGTTCATGATAATCTGTAAATGAGATCATGTGGTACTTGTCTTTCTCTGACTGACTTATTTCACTCGGCATAATACTCTCCAGGTCCCTCCATATTGTCCCAAAGGGTAAAAGATCTTTCTTTCTTACAGCTGCATAGTATTCTATTGTGTAAATGTACCACAGCTTTTTTATCCACTCATCTACTGATGGACACTCGGATTGTTTCCAGATCTTAGCTATTGTAAATAGCGCTGCTATGAACATATGGGGTGCATATATTCTTTCTGATTGGTGTTTCAGGCTTCTTAGGATATATTACTAGAAGTGGAATCACTGGGTTAAATGGCAAATGCATTTTTAATTTTTTGAGGAAGCATCATATTGTTTTCCATAGTGGCTGCACTAGTCTGCATTCCCACCAACAGTGTACTAGAGTCCCCTTTTCTCCACACCCTCACCAGCACTTGTTGTTTGATGATTTCTTGATGACAGCCATTCTGGCAAGTGTGAGGTGATACTTCATAGTTGTTTTAATTTGCATCTCTCTGATGATTAGTGACATTGAGCATTTTTCATGTCTCCTGGCCATTTGTATGTCTTGTTTGGAGAAGTGTCTGTTCAGGGCCTGCTAATTTTAATTGGATTATTTGCTTTTTTAGACATAATGCTATTGCACACTTAATAGACTACAGTATAATGTAAACATAATTTTTTTATATGCACTGGGAAACCAAAATATTTGTATGACTCACTTTATTGTAGTAATTGTTTTATTGTGGTTGTATGAAGTTGAATCCACAGTATCTCTAAGGTATGCCTGTGGATTAGATATAGATACAGGTATCACTTTGCTCCAACACTTGAAAAAAATCTCCATGGTTTGAAATGGAGAGGAAAATAATTCACTGTAATGAATAGTAAAGCCACTTTCAGCCTGTAATTTTTATTTTTAACCTCACCCTAGGATATTTCTCCATTGATTTTCAGATAGAGTGTGAGGGAAAGAGATTGGGGGCGTGGGGGGGGGAGAGAGAGAGAGAAACATCTATGTGAGAGAGACACGTGGATTGATTGCCTCCCACACAACCCCAACCAGGATTGAGGATTGAATTGCAACCGAGGTATGTGCCCTTCACTGGAATCAAACCCATGACTCTTTGGTCCTTGGGTCATCATTCTGACCTCTGAGCCAAACTGGGCAAGATACCAGCCTGTAATTTTTAATGTGGCAGATTATATTAATAGCTTTTTAGAAGTTGAATCATTTTTATATTCTTAGGATATACTTTTTAATCTATGTTTTATAAGATATAATTATTTCTTTTGGCTTTGTTATAAAAATTATACTAACCTCAGAAAATGAGTTACTTAGCTTTGTCTTTCTTCCCATTCTATAACTAGTTTTTAGAATATTGGGATATCACTTGTTGTTTGTATGTTTGGTAAAAGTTGCTTGTGAACTTTTAATGATTTATTTGTTATTTATATTCTGCAGAAGGGCATAGGTAGGTTGGTAGAAATGCTGTGTGGAAGTTAACAGGTTCCATAAATATGAACTTTGGCAGATTGTCAAAACATAATATTGAGTGAAAAAAAGAAGATACCAAAAAATATGTACAATTGATATAATTTCTCTGCATTTTAAAAATACACAAAAATGTCCATATTCTTTATATATATGTACATATATGTGTAAAATTATTTTAATAAAATGGAAGGGATACAAACAAAACAAATAATAGTGACTATCTCATGAAAGAAGAACACACAAATAGTACTAGAAATCATTGTGAAAGCAGATCTAAACTTTTATTATATATAATTATATATAAATTTTGTATCTCTTTAAACACTACTAATATATCAGCAGTAATCCATTCTAGGTTCTGGGGACATGGGGATACTGGTAGTTATGGTATTCATTATAATTTATGTATTTAAAATTTTTTTAAATTTCTGACTGTTGAATTTCATCACGTAGTTTTCAGAATCTATTTAAATGACCTTTAGATGAATTATACTAACCGAAGTTTTAATAATTATTTTTATTGTTAAATATGTTATATTGGATTTTTTAATCAGGATTTTAACATGTATTATTTAAATTTTTGTGATATCTTTCCCAGATTGTATGACCAACACCTAGTTTTTGTTTTATTATTACTCTGCTCCTTAAAAACTTCCAGTATTTCTTTGCTTCCTACAGAATAAAGTTGGACTTTGAGATTAATATTAACATCTTTCTAAATTTGACCTCTATTGACCAATTGTATCTGAAGTGCTCAAGCACACAGCCTTCTTTTTATCATAATTGATCTCACTTTCTCTAAATAGTCTTTCTTTTTTATTCCTTTACACACTTTAAAAAATGCAATAATGTAATTATCTTTCTGTTAGAAATCTGTTACTATCCTTTAAATTTGTTTTCTATATCATCTCCTCTATAATGATACGTGTTTTGTAAAGTGTGTGCCTGTAACATTAGTTATTCCTGGAGGAAGTAAGGATATGGAATTTAGTAAACAATATATCAACCTGTCTAGATGATCAAAAAATAATGCATACAGAAGGCTACTTATTCTCTGTGTAAAGTGGTATGGTGAACATGGAGATGTGCCACACAGAGTCCCCTGCAAGGAAGGACCTATTGCTCTAGCTGCTAGGAGTGCTGTTAGGGTACACCCTTCAGCCGTCAGCCCCTTTAGGGATTGCCTCACTTACACAGAAGCTCCAAGGATATATTCTTCCAGGGACCACCTACATCCAGTGACTGGTCAAGTTGGATGCAGAAAGGACTGGCTATTTCAGCCCAATGCAGGACAACCATGATGGGTCGTTTCAGCTTCAGAGCTCTTATTAGGGTTAGCTGAGGTTGTTAGACTTGCATCACAGCTGACTTCTCCATCTTCCCAAACACTCTTCCCTTGCCTTCCATTGATTCTGAACCCACAGGCACTCCCAGTAAACATTCTGAACACTAACTCCACCTCAGAGTCTGTTTCCAGTGAATCCAAACTGGCAGTAGGTAGTTTTTTTACATTTCTGATATAGCCCTTATCTCTTTGTGTTCTGTTTGTACATGGATCTTGTTCCCCTCTTGAACTCTGACTAGCTTAAGGGCAAGGACCATCTTTGTATTCCAGCATCTAACACAGCAGCAGCATTCTAGGCTTCAGTGGGACACACACACGTTAACTGAGCAAATTTACCAAATATAAAAATTCTTTAATTTAGAATTTTAAAGATTTTATTTTAAATGTTTTCCAGCTATCTGGTGAAATGGAGACAAAGAAGAATATAGAGGTATTTAAAATTTCTGTTTTATGAGATTATGTACCAAAGTATTATGTGGAGGTAAAAGAATGTTTATAACAACATAGATGTAGCTATTAATAGAGATAGGGACCAGAGCAGAGAGTTGGGAAAAGGCACAACTTTTTGTGCTTAGTCCATTTCCTTATGTGTAGCCTAGCTACCATTCTTGATCATCTGAGTTCTATCAGTTTAGTTGTGAAATATAATTTTGTTTTGCTTTTGGATTAGGCATGTGAATATGCCAGGGCTCTTCAATTCAGAGAAGCAGATAGTAGGAAGATCTTTCTTAGCTGGGATAAATATTTTTAAATTCTTCTCCTAAAAAGAAGTAACATGATTAACTAGTGATAGTTAAGTATTTATCTGTCTTCTGTAGTCATATGAGACTACTAAACTGCTAAACTGAAAAGAGTGAAGTAATTACTGGTATGTGATATTTCCTCTTTCTAGGGTTGCAACTTCTCAGGATTCAAATCAAATGAGCTTACTCAACTACCCAGACACTTGGATGCTGAACGAATTTTTCTCTTTATTTTGAAAGTCCATAACTTTGATGTAGGTAAATATTATTTTATTTTTATTGAATGATAAAATTTGAGAATATGATTTAATAAATCAGACTTTATTTAAAGATCTGACAAATTAGGTGTTTAAGCAGGGTTTAATCCTTTGAGTATTAAGTCTAGCAGGAAAGACCAGTGATGTTTCACACTCTGATCACCAGAAGATAATCTATTAGACTCTGGGGTCCTGCCTCAGGAGTCTGCAGTTGCTAGTGTGCATTATCTTGGCTGTGACTGTAGCAGGTATTACCCCCCCCACACACACACACACACACTTCCTGCTCAGTTTAGGATATTTTAGCCTGCTCATTTTGACACCAAAATAACTTATCAGAGTTCTTCCCCAAAACTCCACCTATTGAGTGTCCAGGTGTCTAGGGAATTTTTGAGTAATATCCCTACAAAGTAACTGATGAAAAACTGCAGGCATAGGAAGGTAACTAGATCATTGGCCATTGATCTAGTAGGTTAAGGGTTGGGTGGTTACTGGCATTGATTTCCCACCCACTTTAATTTTAGGTAATTATCTAACAATTTCCCTATGTCCTGGAGGTTTAAACCCCCGGGCAGATTTTTTTTTTTAGGCAGTTCTCTAAGATGGTCTTGGCCCCAACAGGCCTTCTTCCCCATCCCTCACTCCCAGGTTTAGGTGGCTCTTTATTTCTCAATACAAAATTCCTGTTGTTTTCTCTCCTGCTATAGTCCTCTATAGTTCATCAGAAGGAGCATTATCAACCATTAAACCTGATTGAATCCATTCCAGCCATTATTTCTGCCCCCTTTTCAAGATAAAGGAGAGTATATCTCTTCTGTGTTCCATCTTTAAGACGTGTTGTTCCAAGAAGTAGAGTGTGATTGACCTTTGGATCTCATGTTTACCCCTCAGTTAGGAAACCACTGGGCACCTCAATTTATGATTCCACCTAGAATGATTCAGTAATGACACTCTCTCTTACTTTCCATGCTGATACAAATGTTTTTTAATTCTCTTTCATATTTTATGGGATTTTGATGAGAGGGAGGCATAGCCTGCCCTCTTAATCTAATCACACGATACCATTTTTTTTAGAAAAAAACTATGGATGCTAATTGTACTTATGCCTGTGTCATGAGCATATTTATTCTTTTCCCTAACTATATTTTTCAGATTGCCTCAGGAAAAAGGTTTTATTGTTATAGAAATAAATTAATATAATTACTGTTAAAATAACTGTATGGAATATTGTTCTAGATCATCTATAATATTCTTTTGAGCGCTAACATTTTGTGTTCTAAGATGGGACTACATTTAAACCATGGATACCAAATCACAAGGCAATCACATAAACATGGCATAGAAGTTACAGTGGGGAGGAATTTTTAGTATGGTTAACTTGGAGGATGCTGACATAATTGAAAGAGATAGGAAAGTGAAGAGTGGAAGTAGATGGAGAGTGTGTGTGTGGGGGGGGGGGGGGTGGATATGTCCAGCAGCTGGGTTAGGATATTATGAGTTTGTGTAGCAAAGGCATATCTGGGCATAAATACCCAGTGTTTTGTTTATTAATACCCCTAACGGATTTCAAAAACAAATTTCAATTAGCTTACCACAGAATGTACATGCAATGGCATTAAAATAAATAGATGATGAAATTAGATTGAAGAGAAAATAAGTGTAAGAAAATTAAAATAACAGAGGAAAGGTTATTTTATAGAAATTCTTATAGTACAGAGTAATGATAATCAAAACAGCATGGAATTGGCAGAAAAACAGACACACAGACCGATGGAATGGAACTGAGAGCCCGGATATAAAACCACACGTGTATGGGCAAATAATGTTTGACAAAGGAGCCAAAAACACACAATGGAGAAAAGAAAGCCTCTTTAATAAATGGTTCTAGGAAAATTGGAAAGCCTCATACAAAAGAATGAACTAGACTAAAGTTTGTCCTCATGTACAAAATGTAATTCAAAATGGATCAAAGACCTAAATATGAGACCTGAAATAATAAATTACATAGAAGAAAGCATAGGTTCTAAACTCATGGACCTTGGTCTTAGATAAGATTTTAATAATTTGACCCCAAAAGCAAGGGAAGTAAAGGCAAAAATAAATGAATGGAACTATATCAAACTAAAAAGCTTCTGCACAGCAAAAGAAACTGCCAATAAAACAAAAAGACAACCAACCAAATGGGAGAAGATATTTGCAAACAATAGCTCTGATAAAGTGTTAATGTCCAAAGTATATAAAGAATTCATACAATCCAACACTAGACAAACAAATTAAACAATTAAAGAATGGGCAGAGGACCTGAACAGACACTTCTCCCAAGAAGACACAAAAAGAGCCAATAGATATAAGGAAAGATGCTCAACTTCACTAGCTATTAGGGAAATGCAAATCAAAACTACAATGAGATACCACCTCACATCTGTTAGAATGGTTATCAACAAGACAAGTACTAAATGTTGGGGAGGTTGTAGAGAAAAAGGAACTCTCATTCACTGCTGGTGAGAATGTAGACTGGTACAGCCACTATGGAAAACAGTATGGTGGTTCCTCAAAAAACTAAGAATAGGGTTACCATATGACCCAGCAATCCTTCTTCTGGGTATCTACCCAAAAAAACTTGAAAACATTTATTCACAATGATATATGCACCCCTAGGTTCATTGTAGCAGTATTCATGGTGGCTAAGACATGGATACAACCTAATGTCCTTCAGTAGAGGATTTAGAGAAAGAAGATGTGGTACATATACACAATGGAATACTACTTAGTCATAAGAAAAGATGAAATACTGCCATTTGTGACAACATGGGTGGACATTGAGAATATTATGCTAAGCGAAATAAGTCAGAAAGAAGAGCTAAGAACCAAATTATTTCACTCATATGTGGGAATAAAACTGAAACTCATAGACATAGATAACAGTATGGTGTTTACCAGAGGGAAGGGGTTTGGGGAGACAGTAAAGGGTAAATGCAGCCAAATATATGGTGATGAAAGAAGATTTGACTTTGGTAGGCACACGATGCAATATACAGATCATATATCATAGAAACTGCACGTGAAACCTATACAATCTTATTAACCAATGTCACCCCAATAAATTTAATTTAAAAATAACTGCTTACAATAACCAAAAAAAATTGAATTTATGGATCTGATACTCAGAAAGAGAAGGTTAAAGGGCTACTGTTATATGCTGAGGGTGTAAGAATCTATTGAAATGACTGAATTCCCCTTACCCCGTCCAAACACATTCGAGCACATACAGTCATGGATTAAGTTTCTTGATGAACAAAAGTGTGTATTATCCCCTGTATCATGCATAACAGAGCCTTGGCTAGAGATGATGCTCAGTAAACATTTTATTGAATTGAATTGTGAAAAGGGGGCCTGTATTGTAGATGTGAGGAGAAAGCTGAACCCTGAGCATACTTAGTATACACAAATAGAAATTCAAGAAAACTTTAGAAGTAATTTTGTCCAACCTACAGTCAATACTAGGAGAAAAAGTTCCAAGTCAGATAATCTATAGATTTTAAGATATATTTACTTGAATCAAAACAGTATCACCAAGGTGGAACGGGGATGTGAAGGAAAGAATCATTTAACTTTTTAAGCTGGGTTTGGGTTTGTTTTTTGTTTTTTCTAATTTCAATCTTTTGGTTGTTTTGCCTATTGATATGTTTAAAGAATTTAGAGTTTTCCTGAGAAAAAGAAAGTTAGTGATAATGAACTAACAAACTAAGACTAAGAACAATCGTGCAGTTTATACTAAAAAGCATCTTTGCTTGAAATATGCAAATAATTTAAGAAAAAGTATTCAGCTTCCCACACTGTATTTGAATTTTCTACTTTTTTTCTTTCTGTACTTTCTGTATATTCTTTGTAATTAAGAAGTACTAAATCTAAGTTGATGCTGTTACCAATATAAGTGGTCTATGAAAGAGAAGTGCCCCCACAGAATATGTGATAAATAATCTTCTCGGTATAAAAGTTTGCATGATGTGTTTGTATTTTTTTGTTGTTGACTTGTACTTGAGGAACAGAAATTTATACCTATGTATTTCATTAAAAGAAATCTTAAACGCTACTGAATCCAATATTTAAAAACTTTTCATTGAACAAGATAAAATGATCTATTGAATGAACCTATCTAAACCAAGAATTATAATCTGTAATAGTCATGGTAAATAGATTTAACCTTATGTACCAGTTTTGATCCATTGCTTAAAAAGAACACCATGTTTAGATAAGGTCTCAAGTTATAATGGGGTTCATTGGGATAGAATTTTATGATTGTTGATATCTGTCTTCAGTGTAAAAGAGAAATTGTAGCATATCTTAGATTTTTATATTTTTTATCTAGCCTACACTGCCATTTCCATAGGTCCTAGCCAAGTGTGATTATTGAGCATATGAAATCTGGCTAATACGACAGAGTTGAATTTTAAAATTTTATTTTAATTAACTTATGTATAAATTCAAAAACTAATACTTGATTCAGTTATCAAAATACTTTTGATTATGGTTAAACAAAATTACAACCATGTATTTTATGAAGTCTAAATACTGACTTAATATTTATGATGAAAATTTTGTGTTCAAATTGAGATGTGCTGTAAGTGCAAATTATATAGTATATGTCAAAGGCCTAGTACCAAAAAGATTGTGACATATTTAATTAATGCTTTTTATAATTATATGATACTATTTGAAATATAGGTGGTTAAATAAATGTCATGAAAATTAATTTTACCTTTTATTTTTTATCTTTTTTTAAAAAAATATTTTTATTGATTTTTAGAGAGAGAGGAAGGGAGGAGAAAGAGAAACTTCAATGTGAGAGAGAACCATTGATCAGCTGCCTCCTACACGCCTCCTCCTGGAGATTGGACTCCTAACCTGGGCATGTGCCCTGATGGGGAGTCGAATTGGTGACCTCTTGGTGCATGGGTCGACGCTCAACCACTAGCCACACCAGTCGGGTTTATTTTTTACTTTTTTAAAGTGACTACTAGAAAATTTAATATTACATATGTGGTTCCACATTAAATTTATATTGAACAATGCTAATCTATAACCATTGAACACATACTCTTTACAAAGCCTATTTACATTGACATGTTTTATAGTGTTTTTTAATTTATCCCTATTTGTCTTTTTTTCCCATAGGAAAAAGTTCTTAAAATCTGGAGGCCTCATTTTCTCTCAGAAGCCTCTATTGCTCTTTTGCATGATTCCTTTTGGTGGTGGTTTCTCCATAAATTTAAGGTATAATGTTTTTTAAACTTCTGTTTTAGATTGATTTGCAGTGTAATTCATTTTTCAGTAGAGGCAGCACTGGTACAAAAAAAGAAAGAAAGAAAGAAAAAACGACACTTTTCTGGATCCTTTCACAGTTTTAGTATTCCACACAGTTTAGAAATCCTGTTCAAAATCTAGAGTTCTTTCAGAGGATAAGACTTGAATATGGTTCTCAAAGAACCTGGGTCTTCATTTAATCTGGAAAAAAATAGTGAAATCAAACAGTGTAGTAAATAATAAAGTTGTAGCTTTAATCAATATTAAAATTTGCTGATAAACACCAAACAGAAAGCCCACTGTAAATCCGTGGCATTAAAGGAGGTTTTCATTTGGGAAGTCTACAGATCAGACAGAGAGAGAGTCCTCAGTTGATTCAGAAAAGTTAAGATTAAGATTAAAGAGAGAAAGAAGTGGGTATCTGGGAAACAATAAGAGGATGGAAATAAGCAGCACATGAATCTTACATTAGAAAACACGTGAGCTTAGAAAAAGAGGTGAATATACATGACTGCTGTGTAGCCTCTGGATCTGGAAGGACGGAAAGTAGAGCAACCCAGGGTGTCGTAGTCTAACCAGTAAGAAGGTGTGCCACCCCCTCACGGAGCCTGCAAATGGACTCAGCTCCCCACCTTTCTCCAGCTCAGTTTACCCACAGAAAACTGCTGAGGATCTTCAAAGACATGTCATACCAAGAAGAAATGGGTGTTACCAATTTTACATACAAACTATTTGGTTAGGCTGTAGTGTAATTCTAGGTAAAAGTATTTCTGATATTGTTAGTAGCTGAATGAGCCATGGGAAGTGACATATCGATTCTACAAAGGTGATTACATAAGGAAATTTGTGAAATCAGGAGAGTTTCATGACCGTAAATTTCTTTTTCCTGATCTGAATCCCAAATTTGTGTTTTCCATGACAACAGAGAAAAACCTTACTTTCCCACTAAATCTGTTAGGATGATATATAACAAGTTTTTGAAGAAACGATCTAGCAAAGTTTCCAGAAACCATTTTGTCAGGCCATAATAGTATTTTATTATTCTGAACAAATTACAGATTTGACACAAAAATATTAATGTCCTCCTATTTTTATAGGATTATTCTTGGAATAACAAGGAATTAGATTTTTTAATCTTTAAACTATTCTCTAGCAACTACTGGCTTTCTGAAATTAAAATTAATTAATTGTAAAATATAAGTTAATAATATTTTCAGTATCTTATGATTTTTGACGTTTTGAGGAGCAATATATGATTTAGCTGGATCAGTGTTCTGCTAGTATTCTTTGGGTCATTTTGGGGATACAGATCAAGTTGAAGCAAATTTTCCATGATTTAACCAAAATAGTTCCTCATTTATTTATCTGGTTTTTTGTTTTGTTTTTTAACTATCCAAGTAACTTTTTAAATAGAGAGTAGAAGGGAGAGGGGGGAGAGAGAGAGAGAAACATCTATGTGAGAGAGACACATTGATTGGGTGCCACCCGCAAGATGCCGACCAGGGCTAGAGACTGAACCTGCAACCCCGGTACTTTCCCTTGATCAGAATCAAACCTGCAATCCTCGGTCTGTGGGCCCATGCTCTTAACCGCTGAGCCAATCCAGCCAGGGCTAAACAATTGGTAATACATTTGCACTTGTGATAGGAATGAATTTATATTCTTCTGCAATAGAAATTGCAACAAAGCTGAATCTTTTGAAGAGTTGATAAACATTAGCACCAGCTGACCAATCAGGAGAATCTTTAGGTGTTTTAACAGTAAATTCAGGGTCAAAACAAAAAAATATCATCTGGTTTCACAGAAGTAGGTTTGAAAGGTGGGTGGACTTCTCTTTTATGTAATTTATCCCAGTCAATATTTATAACAACAACAAAAAATGTCTTTTGATGTCCTCACCTTCTCTTGAACCCAACCTTTTGCAGGATTCCTTTCGAATAACATTTTTAGAAGACTTTGTGCTTCAGCACTAAGAAACTGAGACATTACAAATCTTGCTTTTAATATCATGTCCATGGTCTCATTTCTGTCTTTACCTTGAAATGGCAGTGTACCAGTAAGTATTTCAAACCTAAGTACACCAGATGACCACCAGTCAGCACTCTAGAAATGACCTCAGAAACCATATACTCCACTGTACCACAAAATGAGTTGGCCTTCTTTTCTTGATCTACTGATTTTTTTGCTAGTCCAAAATCTGTTAACTTGATATGTCTTATTTCATCAAGCTAAATGTTTCTCGGTGTCAGGTCTCTATGCACAATTCTAATCGGTAAAAATGATGCGAAGTAAAGGCTGGTTCTGCAAGGCAGAAGTTAACATCTTCCTCTGTTCACAGAACTTCTTTGGGTAATCTTTGAAGACATCTCCTTCCCTGAGAAAACCCAGTATTAAATACAGCTTCCCTTCAGTCTGAAAGGCATAATGCAATTTGACAATAAATGATTTATTTCCACCAGTATATCCCTCTCCATCTTTGTCCAAACTCTGTCTCGAATTTTTAAATACGCTTTTTCTGCCCTGGCCAGTTTGGCTCAGCGGTTAGAGCGTCGGCCTGCGGTCCGGAGAGACCCAGGTTCGGTTCCCGCTAAGGGCACGTACTTCGGTTGCAGTTTGTCCCCGGCCCTGGTTGGTCGTGCGGGTGGCAGCCACTCGATGTGTCCTTTCACGTCGATGTTTCTCATTCTCTCTCCCTTCCTCTCTCTCCCTCCCACTCTATCTGTACAAAAAATGGAAAAATATCCCCGGGTGAGGATAAAAAATAAATAAATAAATAAATAAAATAAATACGCTTTTTCTATTTTTATTTTTTTATTGTTGAAAGTATTACAGATGTCCCCATTGACCCCCTCCTCCCAGCTTCCACCCCTCCTCCTGCTTTCTCTCTCTCTCTCTCTCTCTCTCTCTCCCTCCCTCCCTCCCACTCTATCTGAACAAAATATCAAAATATATATATATATAGCTTCATTGCATAGAGCTGCCCAGCATCAGGGCGGGTCTTCTTTCTAACAAGAAAAACCTTTCCGAAAGATCCCTGACAAAGAACTTTGAGCAACTCAAACTATGCAGGGTCTGTTTTCTCAACTCCTTCCTTAATGTGATGAGTAATAGGAATTTCTTTTTCTTTTTTTTTTCCCTGCATTTATCTTCAGATAGAGCGGGAAGGAGGTGGAGGGAGAGAGAAACATCAATGTGAGAGAGACACATCGACTGGTTGCCACCCATGCAACCCCAACTGGGGCCTGGGACAAACTGCAACCGAGGTATGTGCCCCTAGTGGGAACTGAACCCGGGACTCTCTGGTCCGTGGGCCAACACTCTAACTGCTGAGCCAAACTGGCCAGGGCAGGAATTTCTTTAAAACTCCTTCATCTTGGCAGGAATCTGCTTCTCCCTCTTCCATTGGCAACCGTTTTAAGATGGTTTACCTATGTGGCGCCTGGAACCCCCCCACATCAGGAGCACAGCAGCATTACCCTATGTTAATGAGGGGGGCTGGAAGGGAGTGGGGTGGAGGAGAAGGACTGCGTGGTGGGGGGTGGAAAAGAGGGCTGGGGAGCGTGCTGGGTGCCGGAGATGAGAGAACTCATCTATTGTGTTCATTGCATTTCATCCTTGAATTTATTTCTAAGAGGGTTTATTGTTCTAAGTGTATATATTGAAGCCAGTGAACTAGAGAAATAACATGACCTCTTATTTCCCTAAATCCACCAAATAAATGTGATGGGATACTAACACATTTAAAAAAAATTTTTTTTTTTAATCCTCACCTGAGGATATTTTTGCATTTTATCTTCAGATACAGTGGGAGGGAGAGAGGGAGGAAGAGACAGAGAGAAACATCCACATGAGAGAGATGCGTTGTGTGCTTGCCACCCACAGAACCGCAATCGGGTTGGGAACAAACTGCAACCAAGGTACGTGCCCTTAGCAGGAACCAAACCTAGGTCTCTCTGGTCTGCCGGCTGAGGCTCTAACCGCTGAGCCAAACTGGCCAGGGCACACCCACACATTTTTAACCAGCATCTGTGGAAATAGATCCACTCCTTGTATATTTCAGTTTCTATTTTAAACTATTCTACCTTCACTTTTAAGGTGAATGTAAAACATATAAATTCTATCTGATTCATGACCCACTTTGCAAAAAATAAATAATACTGATTTTATAACTGGAATAAAATAAAACTCTGAGTCACTTATATAATTTAATTATCAATAATATATAGCATGCTGACTCTAAAACTTATTTCAGTAATTGTTCTATATTAATATAAGAGCACATTTTGTTTGTTGCTTGTGATTTAGTGGTCGCTTGCTAATAGAAAAAAATGCTGACCCTGGCCGGTTGCTCAGTGGTTAGAGCATCGGCCGGAGTCACAGGTTTGATTCCTGTGGGGGCACGTGCCTCGGTTGCAGGGTTGTGTGGGAGTAAACCTGTCTCTCTCATATCGATGTTTCTCTCTCTCTCTTTCTCTCCCTCCCTCCCTCCCACTGAAGATAAATAGAAAAATATCCTCAAGTGAGGATAAAAAAAAAAGAAAAAAGAAAAAAATGCTGAACTTGAACCCAGAAAACTAAAATTTAAATATGGTTCTTCCAGTAGTTAATGTGAAACTTTAGGCTATTAATAAAATCTCCCTGAGCTTCTCTTATCTCAACTCTAAAAAACAAAACAAAAAACAGGTAGAAAATAGCATGCCCTGCTTTTTTCCTGGGGTTGTGTGTACTAAAAGTGACATGAATAAGAAGACACTAGTAAACTGTGAAATGCTATGTAGAATACGGGATTCACTATACTAGAGTTAAGAGATCTCGCTTTCAAAAACAATTACCTATCTATGTATTTGTTGAGAGCGTTAAATTAGAAAATGCATGTAAAGTTATTTTGTTTTACATGGAACTAGGTATACAGTGAGTGTTTAATGGGTACATCTATCATTAGTAGTAGTAGTAGTAGTAGTAGTAGAGTTATTATATTGATAGAGAGAACACAGGGTCCTTCTCAAACTCTTCCAAAAAAATTGAAGAGTGGGGAACACTTCCTAATTCATTTTATGAGCCCAGAATTACCCTGATACCAAAGCCAAAGATACTACAAGAAGCAAAAAAACAACCTATATATCAATATCCTCTTTGATGAGTATTGATGCAAAAAAATCCTCAACAAAATGCTAGCAAACCAAATTCAGCAGCATATTTAAAAGATTACTCTCTGACCTGTGGGATGTATTCCTGGAATGCAAGTATAATTTAACATGTATATCAGTAACTTGAATACCCCAACCAGCTACAGGACACATTTTCTTTCCAAGTATACCATAACATTTACCAAAAAATGACCATGCCCTGGCCTGTTTGGTTCAGTGGTTAGAGCGTCGGCCCGTGGACCAGAGAGTCCTGCTCCGTTCCCGCTAAGGGCACGTACCTCAGTTGCAGTTGGTCCCCATCCCCGGGTGAGGTTGTGTGGGTGGCAAACAGTCGATATGTCTCTCTCACATCAGTGTTTCTCTCTCTCTCTTCCTCCCTCTCTTCCTCCCACTCTGTCTGAAGATAAATGCAAAAATGTCCTCAGGTGAGGATAAAAAAAAAAAAAAAGACCATATCATTTTTCTACTCTGTCTTCTGCGGAGGTATATATGGTATGGATACTAGGTTGAATTGTATTACTCAAAGACATATTCTGGAAGTCTAGTTGGGTAAATTTTTTTCTTCATACATGTCAAGTGTAGATTGTGTATTTGAAACATGCTATTTTTATTAGTGAATTATGTATATAATTTAATATCACTTATATAATATCATTCAATTATGTATCTTAACACCACTACCTGTAACATAAGTGATCAAGAATCACTATTAACATCATCGTTATTATTTTTACTATAATCTCCTTCCATAAATTTATTACACAAGTATTAGAGCTGTATTGGGAATTAGGATACATGGATTCTAGTCTGGCTCTCAATTAATTAACTGTGTATCCTTAAATAATTCTTTTAATCTTTCTGAGCACCAGTGCAATCACTAAAATAGAGGGACTTATGTAGGTGATATCTAACTTCCATTTTAGGTCTAAGAGCCTATGCATTTGTAAGTCCCAGCTCATTTGGCTTGCTAATTTCATAGAAGACTACCACTATCTTTGAAAATGTTGGGTGTTTATTACCATAACGTATTAATGCCAGGGTGCTTCCATAATTGACATCATAAATGAATTTGGACTCTTTAATTCATCTCTATTGCTTAATTCATAGATTTGGACTCTGATTCATCTCTTCATTGCTTAGAAAAGCAAGAATCCATGGTGCTACATTAGGACTTTACTAAATATTGCCATTATTACCTATAGATTTCTTCCTTCTTGCAACTTACTTAATTTGTTTTCAGTTTAGCTATCAAGTCGCAATTTTACTAGTTTTGGCTATGACTGTTTCATCCCAGTAGTAATTGCTTTAATTTCCTGCTGAGTTACTGGTAGTGAAAGAATTGGAATGGGTATAGAATAATAGAAGATAACTGAGGCATTCTGCATGCCAACTACTATGAAAGAACCTTCATTAATTCATCAAGCATTTTTTGTTTTCTATGTGCCAGGCACTGTGCTAAAGGGGTGAAATACATCACATAAAACAGATCCTTGTCCTTATTTAAGTTACTATTTTAAGATATGTATATATTATCAACATTTGGCAGATGAGGAAACTAATAATTAACTTGCCTAGGGTATGCAGCTAATGAAATAACAGCCAGCATTGAAATTCAGGTCTGCATGATGCCAAAACCCATGCTCACTCCACTATAGCAACTGATCTGCTCTTTAACAATAGATAAAATTACCCACATTATGCAAACAAATTCCAATTTTAAATTGTAATATTAATGATTTTAATTCCATACATCTTTTATTTTTAAGCCCGACAGAGAAAATCAAGATTTCTTGTTTGATAGGATTTCAGAAAGTTACGTGACACTTTTTGTAAGCATACCTCTAAGTCAAAAGGATGCATTCTTTCAGGTAAACATAGAAATGAAATGGTCATGCTAATTATTTTTGGAGCTAATGTAATAGAATAATAGTTATTTTATTTAAGCACGTATGAGAACATATTCTGTTACTTTGAAAGCAAAATTTCCTGAAATAAAGTAAGTTATGATACTATTTTAATCTTCACCTGAGGACTTCCTTTTTAAATTATTATTATTATTATTGATTTGAGCAAGAGAGGAGGGAGAGAGAGAAACATCAGTGTAAGAGAGAGACATCAATCGATTGCCTCTTGTACTCGCCTTGACCATGGATTGAACCCACAACCTGGGTATGTGCCCTAACTGGGATTTGAACCCACCACCTTTTGGTGTAAGGGATAACACTCCAACCAACCGAGCCACACAGGCCAAGGCAGTTATGATACTATTTTAAAGGTTATGTCCCCTACTCCAGAATATTGTATTCCCTTCACTAAAAGTCTCTTCAAATCTCCTTAGTGTGATATAGGGATTTTGTTTGCATATTCATAATTTGAAAACTATTGACTTGATTTATTCTATGATATTCTTGTTTTTTTATATTTATCTACAAAATTATTTATCAATTTTGGATTTCTTTACAATGTATCTTTTGATCTAAGAGAACTTGAAAGGTTTATGTTATGCCTAAGGAATAAGTACCTGTTACAGTAAAGAACATGGACTAATTTGTGAATCAAATGTTTGTTTTACTTTTCTGTTATATTAACTAGTGAGTAGGGTTGATGAAAATAATTTATATTCTTGAGTAATGTTAAATGAGGATGGTAGGAATTTCATTGGGTATTTGTAAATTTAAACATCTAGTATTTCAAAGCAGAAACCACATTCAAATACTTCATTGTGTTGACATCTGTAAATCAGAAATACATATTTGGGAGTCAGTAAATATTTCTTGTTCATGGGTAAAGCAAACTTAAAATAAAAATAGTTAAATGTCCTTTGTAAACAAACCTAAATTGTCAAATATTTATGTTCAATCTTGACCTATCTTACTCACAAACATATACATACTGTGTCACAGAAGGAAACTAATAGTGGACTTGGAATGAGACTTGGCTTCATGTCCAGAATCTGCTACTAATTACAGATCTTGTTAAGACAGTCAGTCTCCCAGTTCCACAGTTTGTTGTCTGTCAGGGAAAGAGGATGATCAGATCCATGATTCATATATTATTGTTTTGTAAAACAATGATGTCCTCAAAGATAGACTAGAATTTTCTCTGCTAATATTGAATTTTTTTCTTATTTGCAGGAAAAAGTTAATGGTTAGGATTTGGGGTAATTAGATTGTCTAGAGGTGACAAAAACAGCTGTTTCTCTATCCATAATCTTTCTTTGCTTGAGAACCAGGCCACCTCCCTACAGCTTTATCCCCTTCAGACTTATTTAAGTGGAAGTGGAGCCTCTCTCTCATTGACCAATTTCCATTATTTTTAACTCATTCAGATAAGTGAGGGTTTTGTTACCATAGGCTCATATCTGGTTTATCTTACCTAATGAAGAGAAATGTATTAATATATAAGAATCAAGAAATTACCTTCAGGTCTCATTATTCAGTACAGATTAACTAAATCTAAACACATTTAGTATGGTTTTTATTTCCCTCTCTTCTCGTGACATACAGTATTCCTTTAGAAATTTTCCCAACACAGTTTGACATTTGATCTCTTTTCCCCTTAATCTGAAGGTGAGGTGCTCACAGAACATTTTTAGAAGTTTCTCTTTTTCACCTTGGTCAACATTTTAATTTTAATCATTAGTATGGTTTTATGTACCACAAATAAAATATGTGATTGTTTCTGGTAGTAAATTATTCATGGTTCATTCGATAAAATTAAATATATCAATATATAAAAGTGTTCTCCCCTCCCCTCCCTACCCACCTTCCAAAAAAATCATTGAGTTCTTCAAAGGATACCATCACTTACCAGCAAATGTGAGCACTTCTGGATTTGGTGACTATTAGTTTCCTATTGCTGCTGTAAAAAATTGTTACAAACTTAGTGGCTTAAAACAATAGAAATTAATTGTCTTACAGTTAGATAGGCCAGAAGTCCAAAATGAGTCTTAAAGGGCTAAAATCAAGGTATCAACATGGCTAGTTTCTTTAAGAGGCCCCAAGGAATAATTCACTTCTTGCCTTTTCCAGCTTCTGGTGACTGCCAGCATTCCTTGGCTTCTGGTCACATCACTCCAATCTCTTCTTCTGCCATCACGCTGCCTTCTCCTCTCCTATAATAGCATTTTTCTCAGCCTCCTTCTCATAAGGACACTTGTGATTACATTCTCTCTCTATCTCAAGATCCTTAACTTAATGATATTTGCAAAGGCCCTTTTGCTGTATAAATTAACATTTACAGGCTCCAAGAATTAGGACACTGATCTGTAAAGGGCTTTTCTGATTCTAAAATTTTACATTATTAAGGGCTAAATGTGTGATTGCAAATATTTATCTAAATGCAGAGTACCAAAATAGTAACTAATTTTTTAAACCTTTAGTATAAAAATATCATATCTTTCTATGTTTAATCACTCCCTGGGAGAAATGTAGTAGTTTAGGAAATTTTACTACTAGAATACTGGTGGAACCATATATTTGTTGATATCTGATCATGGTTTTAATATGTAAATAATGCAGTAGTGATTATAATATATTAACTCACCTAAATAGGCTTCAATTATTTAAAATTATGCTTTTTATTCCCTGATAATTATGTGACATGATAGAGGCATTAGCTAAGGCTTTGGTGGTAACCACGTTGCAATATGTAAAGGTATTAATACAAATTTATACACATTAAAAAATTATACACATTAAACATATACATTGTTATATGTCAATTATATTTATATATGCTTTTTATTAGAATAACCTGTATAGGTCAGTTTATAAAAGAAGATGACAGTAGCAAGGTCAAATGAAATAAATATATATTCATCAAACCTTATATTAATTGTTAAATTCATCCTTTTTCCAAATGAAATGTTGTTCTCTAAATGCTATCAAATAGCCAAATTGACTGACTTTATTTTTAACTCTTCTTTATGTTTCCCAGTTAGATTTACAAAGAGATAATAAATGGCCAAAAGCAAGCTATAACAAAAAAGGGATGTGTATATTTCACAAACATGGTAGTTGACATATGTTATATGAAATATAACAATACTCTAATATGACTATTTTTGGTAGGTGTATCCTGATTGTTTGGCACAAGCTATCTATGCAACATTTCAGGAAGCATTTCCAGAATCCAGTCATCTCTTTAATGATGAATTTAAAGAAGATCTAGGGAATAACATTTTTCTTTGGTTGTCAGGTATGACTATCATTTAAGTAGTGATCATTATTTTTGTACCTGAAACTTCTGGATTTTGTTTGCTCCAGTCAAAAGAATAGTTGGTTTTTTGCCTTATAAAATATGCCATGGATAGCTATGTTTTAAAATAATGATGATTAGTCTCTTCTGAAAATTTTATAGTACCAAAATTAATCAATTATTAACTTTAGAAGCTAAATAATTTTATAGGCAATGGAATTCTTGAGAAAACTGAATTGCTACAGAAATAAAGTCATGCCATATACATTTTATATTTGGATGAAAAATATTTTAAACTGCTTTTGGAAATAACATTTATAACAAATAATATTGAGTAAAGAAAAAACATATTTTTAAAATTATGATGTGCTTGTAGGTAGGAGTGGTAGGATTGAATGGCTAAAGGGAAGTAAAATTCTAGTCTAGAGTATCTAGCTAGAGATTTAGGTGCTTGGATTTAAAACTAAGGTATAGTTATATTCCAGGAAGGCCTTCCCATCATTTTTATTTTCTGAGAATATTATACTATTATGGACATATACTAGTATTGCTGAGACTATTATGAACTACCAGAAACTGCTGACAGTTTTCAAGTAATCCTTCTTGCAAATCTTTTGGTTCAAGTTTTGACTGATTTTGGAGTTGGTTTTTGTGTCTGTCAGTAACCAAACCATTTCTATCAGAAAGTGTTTCATATTTTAAGGGGAGAGAAACACCACGGATTTCTGTGTATTGATACAAAATTACTATACAAAATTAGTTGCATCTAACAACAAAATATCTGAAAAAGTAATAAAGAAATCAATTCCATTTACAATAGCGTCAATAACAATGAAATACTTAAGATTACATTTAGACAAGGCAGACATCTGTGCGCTGAAAACTACAGCATTTTGATGGAAGAAATTAAAGAAGTCACAAGCAAAGGGAAAGATATCCTGTGTACATGGATTGGAAGAATTAATACTGTTAAAATGCCCATTCTACCAAAAGCCATCTATAAATTCAATGCAATTGCTATCAAAATTCCAATGACATTTTTCACAGAAATAGAATGAAGAATCCTTAATTTATTTTTTTAAATCCTCATCTGAGGACATTCTTCCATTTATCTTCAGATAGAGTGGGAGGGAGGGGGAGAGGGAGAGAGAGAGAAACATCGATGTGAGAGAGACACATCAACCGGCTGCCTCCCTCACGACCCCAACCAGGGCCGGGGACGAACCACAACCAAGGCACATGACCCTGATCAGAATCAAACCCACAACTTATTGGTCCATGGGCCGAAGCTATAACCACTGAGCCAAACCGGCCAGGGCAAGAATCCTAAAAGTTATGTGGAACCACAAAAGACCCTGAATAGCCAAAGCAATCCTGAGAAAGAACAAATTTGGAGGCATCACACTTCCTGATTTCAAATAATATGATAAAGCTATAGTAATCAAAACAGTATATTACTGGCATAAAAACAGACACAATAGAACAAAATCAAGAGCCCAAAAGTATACCTTTACAAATATGGTCAACTAATGTTTGACAACAGAGCCAAGAATACTTCAATGGGAAAAGGATAATCTCTTCAATAAATGGTGTTAGAAAAACTGGATAACCACATATGGAAGAATGAAATTGGACTCCTGTTTTATACCACTCACAGAAATGGACTAAATTCAAAATAGATTAAAGACATAAACATAACAAGTGAACTGTAAAACTGATAGAAGAAAACAGGAAAATCGCCTTGACATTTGTCTTGACAGTTGTTTTTTTTTTTTTTTTGCACACACACGTTTATTGTTCCCTGGCTCCCTGGTGTTAAAGATGCAGGGTCAAGGGCTGGCAGGCAAAGAGAAGGTTACTCCTTAGTTTTTGTCCTTCTTATCATAGGTGCCAGAACCCTTGTAGCCACTCATATAGCCTGAGTTGTCGGTCATCTCTTCCCGTCCTGTGATGCCTTTGCCCTTGCCACTCTCGTCAAAGCATTCCTTGTGGGTGCCAGTGTACTTGCTGGTGTCCGTCGGCCGGCTCACCCCACCCACAGTTGTTGCTTTAGTAACACCACTGGTCGCTGGATCCTTGCCCTCCATGAGTTTATAAATGTTCTCCAGGGCTTCATCTGGGTTCTTTGACAGTTGTTTTTTTTTTTTTTAATATGACACCAAAAGTCCAAAAAGGAAAAGCAAAGATTAACAAATGAAACTACATCAAACTAAAAGCTTCTGCACAGCAAATAAAATAAAATAAAATAAAAACCCACCAACAAAATGAAAAAGCAATTTACAGAATATATATTCAAATCATATGTCTGATAAGTAGTTAATATCCAAAAGATACAAGGAAAAAATGGGCAGAGGAACTGAATAGACATTTTTTCCAAAGAAGACATACAAATGGCCAACAGATAGGTACATGAAAAGGTGCTCAACATCACTAATAATCAGGGAAATGCAAGTCAAAACCACAGTGAGGGATTGCCTCGTGCCTGTTAGAGTGGCCATTAAAAAAACAACAAATAACTAGTATTGGTATGGATGTGGAGAAAAGAGAACTCTTGTACACTGTTGATAGAAATGTAAATTGGTGCAGTCACTATGGAAAACAGTATGGAGGTTCCTAAAAAAATTAAAAATACAATTTCCATATGGTCCCATTATTCTACTTCTAGTTATATATCCAAAAGAAATTAAAATAGGAGTTCAAAGAGATATCTGTATTCCTGTGTTCATTGAAGCATTATTCACCAGAGCCAAGATACAGAAACAACCTAAGTAACTGTCAGTTGATATATTGATAAAGAAGATGGGTATACATAGACATTAGAATATTATTCAATCATGAGAAAGAAGGAGATCTTGCTATATGTAACAATGTGGACGGACCGTGAGAACATTATGCTTAGTGTAATAAGTCAGACAGAGAAAAGCAAATACTGTGTGATATTACTTATATGTGGAATCTAAAAAGCCATATTCATAGAAACAGAGTAGTATGGTGGTTACCAGGAGTTGGGGAAATAGGGAAATGGTCAAAGGGTACACAAACTTCTGGTGATAAGATGAGTAAGTTCTAGAGATATAATGTACAATCAGGTGATTATAGATAATACTATACTTGAAAGCTGCCAAGAATGTAAATTAAATGTTCTCACCATTACAAAGAAATGGTAATTATGTGACATGATGGAGGAGTTAGTTAACACTATAGTGGTAATCATTTTATAGTATATAAGTATTGTAATATATATGTATCAAATCAAATTTTAAACTTATACAATGTTATATATCAATAACATCTTAATAAAACATTAACATTTAAAATCTTTTTAAAGCTAAAAATATAAAACACTCTTTATTTGGATGTTATGGCCCTATATTAATGCCATTCTTTAGAAGAGTCCATGTTTGATTACCAATTTGAATTTCCTGCTTGTAAATAATTTGGGGATGCAGTCACGGTGGTTAATTTGGGAAAGAAGCAATAGAGAAGGTAACTTGCATTAAATGTTCTGGCTTGATGTTAGGCAATGACTAAGTTGAATTGAATTTTTGATCCCTTATGTCAAATACATAGTTTAATACATAGTAGGCCTTCAAAAGATTTTTTGAATGCTATGTCTCTTTATATATCAGGACTTAGTGGAGTTTATTCCAGAAATGGAAGGATTATTCAACACTAAACTATACCAACCATTTCTTTTGTTTTCGCTATTCTGATGCTTTGACATTTGGGGCTGTGCTGACCCTGGAAGGACAGCTCCTCCCAGGATTAGCCAATTCCTAAAGATATTAAACAACTCACCTATGACCATGCTTGTCAAATACAAAGCAAACAGTCCAGAGCCCACACCACAACCACCTCCTTTATTGGGCTCTCACTCTGGACCACTACCTACTTGCCCTAATCATCCCAGGATCAGGTACCTGACAACTAGGGAAGCATCTATGCCCTAGAGCCACTGAAATTATTCAAACTAGCCAGTGATAAGCCTGTTTACCCTGTCTCATCTATTCATTCCCACGGAAACCGCAATAAAGGCTCTTACCCATAGTTTCCCCTCTTCCTCTGCCCCCTGGCCAACCCCTGTGCTTCCCCATGTGGCCTCCCATGACATGGCTTGCCCCCTCCTCTTGGAAACTGTGAGTAAAAAACTGTCTTTTCATTGTTCATCATCTGATCTGTTGATTTTACTCTCCCTCGAATTTTCTCTTAATTCACTGTATTTTAATACACTATACACTATATTTTAAAACAATCTATCAAGAAGCATTCAAGTTAATCAAACTGAAGGCTGTTGCATATTTTATCTAGTGATGACTAATGTGAAATGAGTGATAACTAAATCTAAAAACACTTAGAAATTCTAATTTGATAGCTGAATACAGCAAATAATCCTCATTGAACACTCATTACTGAGAAAATATTGGCTGTATTTATGAGTATGTTGATGTATAGTAAAATATTAGCATATTTTCCATTTAGTGAACAATTTAACATTATATTATCTCAATAACCTTCAGAACAACTATACATAGTACACAAATAAATTTATATTGTTTTTATTTTTATTGCTCAGGCTACAAATGTTTAGTATGGTTAAATGAATTATTCAACCCTACTCAGCTTTTAGAACAAAAGTGGAACTTTTAAAATGAAATATACTTTATTACTTTTGGGGTACTGTAATTGATTCTTAAATATTATTTTTAAAATAATAGGAGATACAGATAGGAAAAATTTAAAAACAATTATCACCTATGCTCAGAGGCAATCATGTTAACATTTAGGCTATACATATAAAGTAAAATTGTTCTTCAGATAAAAACATATTATGAATGCCTTTTTATGCTAACAAATACTTACAAGATAACTTTAATGGATACTTGAAATCCACTGTATGGATGTACTGTTGTTGGACATTTAGGTCCTTTCCAAATTTCCACAATAATTAACCTCCTCTGTTCTTATGTGAACTTAGCATATGTCTGTGAGTTAGAAGGATACATATCAAGCTTTAGCTCTTTTCTAATTCACTGGTTTATATAAGACATTAACATCTTGGTATAAAGCTTTCCTGATTAGAAACTTGAGACTGACAATCCTCACAGGACTGTTGTGAGAATAAAATGTATTATACTCATAAAAATGCTTTGACAAATTAAAAAGATACTTTCAAAATTCTAATTTCTTTTCTGACTGTATATTTTTTTTAACAGGTTTGAAACCTCAAAAAGACTTTTGGACCCACTGGAAACTGAAAGAACTATCCACAAAAACCATACATGGTACCATGAAAGCACCTTCAAATTCCATAAAGGCGAGGATAGAAAGAAGTCAAGAGCGCATATCCGATTGTAAGTACATTGATAATGATTTGCCAAAATTAAGTGCACTAATTTATTTACTTGTCAGAATTTTCTAATGATTAATGCTTTAGTGAGGGTCGTCCAATAACATTTTATTTGTACAGTGATCTTATAGTACTTTAAATATTGCTTTACATTTGAGTTTTTCATTTTAAGTTATTTGTGCTTAAGTTCTTTTCCCATTTTGTCATATTATATTTTTATATTGATTTTTAGGAATTTTTCAGGTACACTACAAATATTCTTACTTTTTAGATATATTGCTAACTGGTTAATAATGTATTTTGCCAATACATAAGTTTAAATTTTTTTTTCAGTAAATTTAAATAATGTTTTCTTTAGCGTTTCAGTTTTGTGGCATGTATGTCAGGATTTACCTAATATTTGAAAATATCTACTCTCTTTTTCTAGTACTTTTTATTTCCATGTGTTAGTTACCATGTTAATCCATTTCAGATTTATTTTGTTATAAGGAAGGTAGTTGTATTCTAGTGTTTTATTTTTTCCAATTGCTCATTTATTGTATAGTGTACTTCCAGGCTACTTGAAATATCAATTCACTTGTATATATTTTTGTATTCTCTTCTGTTCCTTGAGCTACATGCCAAAGTCCTGAACAAAACTTCTCAGTTACTCTAGATTAACAAGCTCTGTAAGGCAAGTTTATTTCTCTCCTGTTTATACTGTATTTCTAATACAAAACATAGGTCTGGTGCTCAGATCTCATTTCTGACTCATTAAATCAGAATCTCTGCTCAGGATTTCTTTTAAAGCTACCCAGATTATTTCAATGTGCAGAAGAAGTTAACCACTAATGTAAAGGAAATACCTTTCCAGTCTTCTTGATACAGGCCAGAAGATGGAGGGACTAACCTATCTCTTTCAACCTACTCTTCTGAAAGCTGTTCTTTAGTTGATTTCTATTTCTAAAATTAATTACTGTTCTTGGGATTTGTGCTGTGATTTTCCCCACTCTTATCCCCTTAGCTTCATCCTCTCGGATTTCTATCTTTTAGTAGTTACATGAAATATCTGGTTTGCTGTTGCCATGGGTTTTTCCAGAACTTCATAGATAGTTGTTATTTTGAATGGGTAGGTACTTTACCCAATCTTGCATATCTGTGTTTACTCCCACTCTCACATGTGAATACCAACTTAGCTGAACATAAAATTAAGGGGTTTAGAGGGAGCTCTTTATGTTGTTAAAATTTTAACTTGTAGAAGGTGATAAGAATAGCACAAGAAACTCCTATGTATCCCTGATCCAATAACAGTTTAAATTTTACCCTATTTATTTTATCATTCTCTTTTTTTTGTAATTTTTTTTTATCCTCACCCGAGGACATTTTTGCATTTATCCTCAGATAGAGTGGGAGGGAGAGAAGGAGGAAGAGAGAGAGAGAGAAATATTGATGTGAGAGAGACGCATCGAATGGTCACCACCCACACAACCCCAACCGGGGCTGGGGACAAACTGCAATCAAGGTATGTGCCCCCTTAGTAGGAACCGAACCCAGGACTCTCTGGTCCATGGGCCGATGCCTAACCGCTGAGCCAAACCGGCCAGAGCATTCTCTCTCTCTCTTTTTTTTAAATAGCTTTTAAAGCTATACATTTCTCTGAGCATTGTTTTAACTACATTCTAGAAATTGATATGTTGTATTTTCATTATCAATTATAAATGTATTCTAATTTTCAGTATAAATTCTATTTTGACCCATGTGTTAAGGATGTATGACTTAATTTCCAAATATTTGGGGATTTTCTGGGTAGCTTATAGTTACTGATTTCTAATTTAACAATATGCTCTATATGATCTTTTGCAATGTATTGAGACTTGCTTTATGGTATAGTACATGGTCTGTCTGGGTGAACATTTCATGTGCACTTGAGAAAAATGTACATTCTGCAGTTGTTTTATAAATCTTAATTAGATCAAAGTGTTTGACAGTGTTATTCAGATCTTCTATATCAAGGGTCAGCGAACTATATCCTATGGACTAAATCTGGACTGTAACCTGTTTTCATGTCCTGTGAGATAAGAATGATCTTTACACTATTTAAGGGTTATGGGGGGGAGGGGTGGGAAGGCATATACCACAGAGACCATGTGTGGCCCACAAAGCTTAAAATATTTACTATCTGGGCCTTAATAGAAAAAGTTTGCTAACTCCAGTTCTATCTCCTTATTGATATTTTAATTAGTTCTATTAATACTGAGAGGGGGTATTAAAATCTAAAACTCTAATTGTGAAATTATTTCTCCTCTTGATTCTATTAATTTTTGCTTTACTTATTTTAAGTTATTGAGCACATACTCATTATTATTATTATTATTTTTATCCTCACCGAGGACATTTTTCCATTTTTTTTGTTCAGATTGAGTGGGAGTGAGAGAGAGAAACATCGATGTGAAAGGGACACATCGAGTGGCTGCCACCCGCACGACCAACCAGGACCGGGGACAATCTGCAACCGAAGTACGTGCCCTTAGTGGGAACCGAACCCGGGTCTCTCTGGACCGCAGGCCAACGCTCTAACCACTGAGCCAAACCGGCCAGGGCACATACTCATTATTATTATGCTTCCCTTTAATCATTATGAAATGTTCTGTCATACCTATGGGATCCTCCTTGAGTTCTACCTTGTTTGATATAATACAGCCACTTCAGCTTTCTTATGCTTGTGGTTTGCATGCTGCATCTTTTCCCATCATTTTACATACAACCTATTCATGTTTTTATGCCTAAAGTGCATTTCTTGTAAACAGCTTTTAGTTGAGTCTTGTTTTTGATTTAGAGTGCTTACTTCATTTACATTCAATATAACTATAGATTTATCTGTACCATGTTTTTTTTTGTTTGTTTTTTTTTCAGTTTTGTCTCACCTGATTTCTCCTCTTTCATTTCCCCTTTCCTGTCTTCTTTTGGTTAATCAAATATTTTTACTATTCCATTTTCATTTCTCTATGAGTTATTTGGCTGGGCCTCTTTGTAAGTTTTGAGGTTGTCTTAATGATTACAAAATGCATCCTTAACTTATCAAAATACTACTTAAAGTTAAAGTTAATATTTTCACTAAAAATACAGGAACTTGTAGCAGTACAGTTATATGTACTTCCCCTTTGTCCTTTGTGCTATTGTCCTATATATTACAAGATCTGCATGAATAATATCCGCACATTATATAGTGTTATTTTTCTTCAAATTGCTACATGGTTTATTTCATCTTTACTGAGATCTAACTGATATATAATAAACCACATATATTTAAAACGCAAAATTTGATGAGTTGACATGTGTATAAACCTGTAAAACTATCATAACTTTCAAGATAGAAAACATATCGACCATTCCCAAAAGTTCTGCATGCTTTTCAAAAATTTCTCCTTCCCACCTAGTTCCCAAGCTATCAATCACTTGTGTGATTTTTGACCCTACAGATTATAAGCATTTTTTAAAATTATGTAAAATTATGTAAATCAGATTATGTGTTTGTTTGTTTTTAATCTGGCATTTTTCACTTCACTCCACTCTATGTAATTTTTTTGAGATTCAATCATGTTGCTGTATGCATGAAAATTTGTTCCTCTGTATTGTTGAGTAGTTGTCTATAGTCCATAGTAAGGATATACCACAATTCATGTACTCATTCACCTGTTGGTGGACATTTGCATTGCTTCCAGTATTTAGCTATTATAAATAAAGCTACTGTGAACATAATTTCTTTGTAAACTTCTACTAGTGGAATGGCTTGGTAGTATGATACGTGTATGTAGCATTTTAAGGAATTTTCTAAAGTTTGTAGTTACTCCACTTCCTCACTAACACTTAGTATGGTCTTTTTATTTTTAGACATTCTTGTGGGTTATGTACTGGTTTTTAGTTAGGTTCTGTTTTAAGTTCTTTAATAACAAATCATGATGAGCTTTTTATGTGCTTGTTTATCTCCATATCTGCTTTACTGAAGTATCTGTTTAAGTTCTTTGGCTATTTTTATTTGGGTTATTTGTCCTACTAAATTGTTATAAGAATCCCTTATATATTCTAGACACAAATCCTTTAACAAATATATAATTTGCAAATATTCTCTTCCAGTCTGTGGCTTGCCTTTTCATGTTATAATGAAAAGCAGAAGAGCTGAAGTTGGTAATTTGGCAAAATCCTATCTTTCAGTTGTTCTAACATAGTTTGTACATTTTTGTTTTCTATTTAAGATGTGTGTGTGTGTGTGTGTGTGTGTGTGTGTGTGTGAAATACAGTTGCCCCAAGATTATCTCCTATATTTTCTTCTAGAAATTTTATAGTGTATAATTTTATAGCTGATAGTTCTGGCCCTTACATATAGGTTTCTAATTCACTTTGAGTAATTTTTGCAAATTATGAGAATTAAGCAATGAGGATTATTTCTTTGCATATTATTTCAGCACCATTTGTTGAAAAGATTATCCTTTGCCCATTGTCAAAAAATCAGTTGAGCCCTGGCCAGTTTGGCTCAGCGGTTAGAGCATTGGCCTGCAGTCTGGAGAGACCCAGGTTCGGTTCCCGCTAAGGGTATGTACCTCAATTGCAGTTTGTTCCCGGCCCTGGTTGGGTCGTGTGAGTGGCAACCACTCAATGTGTCCCTTTCACGTTGATGTTTCTCTCTCTCTCTCTCTCTCTCTCTCTCTCTCTCTCTCTCCCTCCCTCCCTCCCATGTATCTGAACAAAATACCAAAAAATGTCCTCGGGTGAGGATAAAAAAAAAATCAGTTGACTAGCCCTGGCCAGTTTTGCTCAATGGTTAGAGCTTCGGCACTTGGATTGAAGGGTCTCAGTTTTGATTCTGAATCAAGGATATATATGTACCTGGGTTGCAGGATCAATTCCTGGCCCTGGTCAGGATCGTGCAGGAAATAACCGATCAATGCGATTCTCTCATGTCAATGTTTCTCTCTCTCTCCCTTTCTCCCTCCCTTCCACTCTATCTAAAATCAATGGGAAAACATC